GAATAAATTTAAATTCACGTATTGAATTTGGAGACGTTTGATTAATGGTTAACGGTGCATGAATAGATATGACAATTAAGTGGAACTTTTGCAGTTATGTTTCCCCTTCCTGGAATTTTTTTTTCATGCGTTTCGATATGAATTGGTTGAATTCTTTTTAAAAAATATTTGAAGTTGAAGTTACAAAAGGATATTCGAAAGTTGAGCAATTATGTTTGAACATAAATTGAAGTTACTTCCTTTGTCTCAGTTTGGATGACACAATTCGAAGTATCAAAATCAAATTATTTAATTTTTCACATAAGTTAAAATATAAAATCTTTAAATTTCTTAAAATAAAATTTGTGCTAGTATGAGAAAATTCACTGTCAATGCATGACGTTATTGAGTTCTTAAGTGAACCAACTTCTTTTTTATTTTTGGCCAAAATTTCAACTCTTAATTTATTCAGTACTACTCACATATAGTAAGTGGAATAAATATGGAAATTAAGTTGACTTGTTGCAGTTATGTTCCCTTCTTTAACAAACTTTTCAGTTGTAGTTTTTTTTTAGTTTTCCGTTCCATCTTTCAGGTTAGATATTTCAATATTGAAGTTCGATTATTTTGAACTTGTGCCACATATAGGGATGTCAATGAGGCGGGTTGCGGTATATGTAATTTTCTGTGGGTTCAAACTTAATTTTAATGTTTTACATGTTATAAGAGTGATAGAACATTATTTATTAAGATAATTTCTTTAAAGCTACTAAAATATTCAACATAGTAAATGAAAATAGCCCAATAAAAAATAATACAATTTCTTATATGTTTCCCAATTGACCTCTAAAAAATAAAATTTTAAGTCACTTTCCTATTAAATTAATACAACTTAATGAAAAAATAAATTTATTTTTATGAATTTTATTTTTAGTATCAAAATTAACTAGAAAAATAAAATATTAAAATAATTATGTGAGGCGATTTCATGCGAGCGGGTCTATGCGTAGTGCGGTGGGGCGGGTTGAAAATGAAAAAAAATGTTATGCAGGACAGGGCGGATTAAAAATTTTGCGGGTTAAGCTCAATCCGCTCCACCCATTGTCATCCTTAGCCACATAGGGTTCTGTTCAAGGGAAGCGCTCCCTACCAAAAAATGTTTTATACCATATTGTAAAAGAATTATGTTAAAGAATGTCTAGTTATTAGTATCGTTACTGGGGGATCTTTATAAAATTATATGCTTTTTTAAAGTTTGTAATCGCAAAGATTTACTTATAAAAAGAACATGGAGATATGTGACTTATCAATGCAGCATCTTAAGATATATGGATATTTTACTATGAACTATATATGATTTGTGATCTTTTGGTAAGACTCTATAAGAATTGGAGAAATTTTGATAGTTTTCATAACTTGTGGGGTTTTCACTTTTCATGTTGATGAGAAAAAAACAACTTAGAAAATGCAAATTACATGTCCAAATAATATCTTCAATTTCAAATCAATATGATTCCGAATCAATTGTCCAATTGAGGCCTTAATATATTCATCATCCTTAAGTTTGCTATTACATTTCATTTACATACTCGAACTATCATTTGTCCCAATTGCAAATATAAAGCACTTCATCTCTCTTTTCTAGTATAAAATTCTTCTTATAACCAGATGTAGCGAAACCTGAAAGAAGCGTTAAAAATTGAAGGGAAAAAAAGAACAAGAAGTGCAATTATCTTCTCCTCACAACATTAGTTTACTGCATAATATTATTGGTTCACTTCGTCACACTCTCAATTACATGAACACTAATGTTTATATTAGATAGTTTCAATTCAAAGCTTTGAAATTTTTTAACAAGCATTTACTACGTAGTTAGGTTAAACACACAAAAAATATGTCTCCATTAATTATACATACTTATCTATTTCAGTTGGAGCTTGAGCCAAAGGTCTTTCAGAAATAACATTTCTATCCTCACGAGCTAGGAATACGATCTGCGTACACGCTACTCTTTCTAAATCCCACTTATGAGTAATATACTAGGTATGTTGTATTTCAATTGGAATGATGCTAATGTGTATGAGTTATACAAGTGATATATTTTAAGTGGTTAACTTATATATATATATATATATATATATATATATATATATGACACATTTGAAAATATTCTCAAATTAAGAACAACAACAACAACAACAACAACAACAACAACAACAACAACAGCAACAACATATCAAGTGTAATCCTACATGGGGTTTGGAGAGAGAGCAAAGTATGCATAACCTTACCTTATCTCATAAAGATAGATGTGATATTTTTGAAAGACTCTTAGCTTAAAATAAAGGGAAAATGATCTGAAAAATACTCAAACTTTTACTGAAATTGTTGTTACGATACCAAACTTTATGGAGGACCTTTTACGTCCTGCACTATTTAGTAGTGTATTTTAAAGGTATATATGTGTTCACGTGGACACATTCCTATTTAAAATGATGTCATATTTATGATGTCCACGTAGACACTTATATACCTTTAAAATACACTATTAAATAGTACGCGGGGGGGGGGGGGGTGGTAAAGGTCCTTTCCAAAGTTTGGTATCGTAACAACAATTTCGACCAAAGTTAGAGTATTTTTTAGACCCTTTTCCCAAAAACTTGTCAAACAATTTACAAAAAGGGATATGCGACAATCACAACAAGAGTCTGACCCCAAAATAGATACTTTTTGGACGCCACATATCAAAAGAGACACTCCCTAAAAACACATACCAAAAAGTGAGTCTCTTTTGGTTTGTATTTTTTATAGAGCGAGTCCCTTTTGATCTGTAGCGTCCAAAAAATATCCATTTTGAGGTCGGATTCATCACAACAACACATTACCACGAAACGGAAAGTTACACAACAAATCGGGAAAAGTATAGTCTCAATACAATAATTGACACACAAAAACACCAATTAAAGCTGAAATTGAAGACCAAGTGAAAGTATCTATAACGTATTTTAGATCACAAGTTTTAATTACTATTTCATTTGTCCTTATTTTTTAATTTACTATTTTACATTTTAAACATCTATTTGCATTAAAACCCCCCATAAACCCTACTCAGTACACTCTACCCTTTTCTCACTTAATGGCCTCTTTTAGCAGAGTGATCCGCCGGACTTTCTCCACGGCTGAAGCCTCAGTATCTCCGATCAGAACAATCTCCGACGACTTATACAAAGAGAGGAACCTCAAAAGACTCGTTGAGAAATTCAAACAGTATTCAGATGTCACAAGATTCCGCACAAAAACCGGCATTTACGAATCTACAGTTCATCGATTAGCCTCTGCAAAACGGTACAAATGGATCGAAGAAATCCTCGAACACCAAAAACAATACCGACCCGACATCTCCAAAGAGAGTTTCGCGGCAAGGCTGGTGAGTTTGTATGGAAAATCTGGGTTATTTGAGAATGCCCAGAAAGTGTTTGATGAAATGCCTGAGAGAAATTGTAAGCAGAGTGTGAAATCTGTTAATGCCCTTTTAGGGGCTTGTGTTAATTCGCAGAAATATGATAAACTTGAAGGTTTGTTTGAGGAATTGCTGGAGAAGTTGAAGGTGAAACCGGATGTTGTCACGTATAATATAATGATTAAGGGGTTGTGTGACAAAGGGGAGTTGGATAAAGCAGCTGCCTTTGTTGATGAGATTGAGAAGAATGGGTTAAAGCCTGATTTGGTTACGTTTAATACGATTCTTGGGGTGTTTTACTCGAATGGTAAGTTTGATGATGGCGAAAAGATGTGGAAGCTAATGGTTAGCAAGAATGTTGTTCCGGATATTAGAAGTTACAATGCTAAGCTTGTTGGACTGATGAATGAGAACAAAGTTTCAGAGGCTGCCAAGCTTGTTGGCGAATTGGGAAGTTTTGAGTTAAAGCCTGATGTGTTTACTTATGGTGCGTTGATTAGAGGATTTTGTAAAATGAGTAATTTGGAGGAGGCTAAAAAGTGGTACGAAGAACTTGTGAAGAGCGGTTCTGCTCCAAACAAGGTGATATTTGCTAGTGTCATTTCATCTGCGTGCGAAAAGGGTGATTTTGATTGGGCTCTTGAGTTGTGCAAAGAGGTTTTTAAAAGAAAGTGTAATGTTGATGCAAAGTTGTTGCAAAGAGTGGTCGATGGGTTGGTGAGCTCGTCTAGGATTCGAGAAGCTAAGGAGGTTGTGCATTTGGGCAAGTCAAATGACTACCATCTTTATAAGCTCAATCTACCTTCAGATGATTAAAGACTACCAGCCGATTTGCTTAGCATTTTAGATGCTGAATTTGGTACGTTAACCTTGTGTACGAACTTAATTTGATGCTAGTTTCAACTTTCATGACTGTTAACAATAAGATGTATTCTTGTTTTGGATGTTAAATGAATTTATACTTTGCTCAGCATTTTGTGCGTGAGTTTTCGGTCGCCTTAATGACTTCACTTGATATTGGTTTAATGGTCTTGTGGTATAAGGTTCCCAACTAAAACATACCCTCTCTAGTACTTTTTAGGCTTTTGTATAGAAATCTTAGTTCTATTTCAACAAGTTGAGTGAAAGATAACTCCAATCGCAAAACCAAATTTCAGATTTAATAGCATTATCATTTGTTTTAATAACATACTAGAAAAGGAGAAAAATAATCTGTAATAGAGAAGAAGAGATCAATAAGTAGCAGAAAGGAGCAACAACACGACCGGAAAATATATATCTACCGTCCCTAGGAAGTAGGAAAGAGAAGTGTCTCCAGTCTCCCTATGAATTCCCTCATTTGCACATGACTTCTAAGTATGGCCTTTAAGGAATATGAACAAGGAAGACAGAGAGCATAAAGGCTGGCACTCAACGTCAGAACTTTTTTAATATGAAGGAAAACAGAATTCAGTTCTAAGCATGAGTATGCATATGTGTTCGAGTACAAAACTTCGACAATAAAGCTATTTCTTGATGATAGAACACCAAATAGAGTTATTTTATTTATTAAACGTTGCTTCTTCTGTATTACATTAAATCTTGTTTATTCAAAACAAATATTGACAGAATAGTGCTGCTCTTTGCCACAAAGATTCATCAGTAAACTGTTTAGATCTTCAATAACCCCTTATCTTTAAAACAAGCAACACACTGATCATAGATCTCTTCAATCCCATACTTAAAACTGAATCCCTCTTTGATGAGTTTTAGTGACGAGATGATCAACTTGGCTTTAGATGGGAATTCTCCGAAACTGCAATTCATCAATCAGATACAAAGATATATATATGTCAGTAACCAAAGGGAACAGTTGGATAGTTGAGGTGTTTATTCAATATTTCTAGTTTCACACCCAACTATCAATTGTTTAGGTAGGAAAAAGGAACAGTTCGATAGTTGGGGTGTGTTTAAATACATATATGGTGATAGTTCATGTAGGAAAATGGAACAACTGATGGTTAGGATGTGAAACTCGAGAAAAGACGATAGTTCAGGTGTGAGTTTGACCATTTACTCTATTTGATATCTGTGACATTACTTACTCAGTAGGAACATATAGAGTTGGATATCTTTTCTTCAAGAAACTTGCAAGCTCTATCACACTGGTGTTGACTGCAGAGCAAATGTACCTCCCAGAAGCTGATTCTTTCTCAGCAACAAAAATATGGGCTCGACAAACATCCTCCACATGTGTAATAGATATTGAACCTGATAACATCTGCATCCCCTTCAAGTTACTTATAAGATACTCATCCCCTGTCAAAATATTTGCAAAGATTAGATTAAATTCTTTCAATTTCTCCCTCCGTACCAATTTATGCGACAATGTTTGATTGGGCGTTGTGTTTAAGAAAAAAAGGAAGACTTTCGAAACTTGTAGTATTAAACAAGCCTTAATAGCACCTTAGGCTGTGTCTGTTTGAGAGCCTTGCAGTCTTAGGTTCAATCAGCCTTGACAAAACACTAGGTGATATCTTTTCCCATCTGTCAACCCTAGGACAAGGTCACTCAATACTTGTGCTAGTGGGAGTTAGCGCTTAATAAATATCATGTGGTATTAGTCGAGGTTTGCATAAACTGACCTGAACTCTACGGTTATAACAAAAAGAACAAGTCTTAAACATGTGTTTGACTATAAGTCATTTTCTATAGGTAAAATGAGAATTTTAAAATTGAATAGTTTCTAAATATAAAAGGTACAGTAATATTTATTTTTACACAAATGAAAAAAGGGGAGCGTCACATAAATTGGGACAGACGGAATACAATATTCATGTGCAAGTTTTTAATGATATTTTTAGTCAGACCTATGATTAAGGACATGGCAAGATCAACACTGCTTGGAGTTTCTGGAGTAAAGTAAGGACCAGCCATGAGAGATGGAATTACAGTGATAAGTTTAATGTTGTTTTCTTCAGCAAATTTCCAAGCTTCCTTTTCAGCTAATGTTTTTGAGACAGGGTACCCCTGCATTTTAGAATTGTAAACCATATTCTTAAAAAAATATGAATAAATATAATGAGAAATTACCCAAGTAGGTGGTTTTGTTGAAGTCAAGAACTCAACATCTGTCCAATTAGACTCATCCATGACTATGCCTGTGCCACTAAGTTGGTTGATTGTCACAGCTGCAGCTGATGAAGTCAATACAACACTTTTAACTGTTCTTGATTTGACACATGCTTTTAGGACATTCACAACTCCTTGTATTGCTGGATTTATCATATCGTTCTGCAAATAAAGAGAATATAATCGAGGCGGATTCAGGATTTAAAGTCAATAAATTTAAAGTGAGAATTATGATATATGTGTGCACCCAAATGATAGCGATTGTGGATTTTCCTTGTCATCAGAAGAAAAAAAAGATTTCATTATGTGTACATTCTATCTGATCTAATTTATGTAACATAGTTTGAATTAAGATAATAAAGGCGGACATAGAAGTTCAGACAAGAATTTGGTTGAGCCCAACAACTTTTGTTCAAATAGTATACTTTTCGTTGGATAGTCACTGAATATGTTGAACATATTATTAGATTTAGAACTCAATTATTAGCAAATGAAATCCTGACTCTGCCTGCCTCTGTTTGAAGGATTTTAAGAAAGAAATGGAAAATTCTGAAACTAAGGTCTTAAAGATGCAATATCGATTTTGTGTGGTTATAAAACTTGTGACTTTACACATGCCGTAACAATTGTATAATTATTAAAGCTGATTATTAAACGTAAAATGAGTAAGTGTAAAGTTAATTTTATATATACCTCTGGATCTTGAGAAGCAAAATTAATTGGTGTTGCAACATGGAAGACAATGTCACATCCAGTTATAGGGATATCAAAACTTGTTTCATCTGTTAAGTCGGCTTGAAATATTCTCAATTTTCCCAACTCATGTAATGCTAATAGGTGAGAAATCTTCTTATGATTCCCTAATAAAAAAAATCAAAAAGCAAACATCAGAATTCTCCGATCTAATAGAGTCATCCTATGAGGTACCCACTATTCGGAGTACCCTCCCAAAAGAACAAAATGTGTCTATCAGGTTCGGTTCTTCTTAGTTGGGTTGGGTCGGATATACCTTGCCTCAAGTAATGCTACAAACACTTATTTGTCAAAAAAAAATTAAAAAGATAAAAGATAGATAAGAACCAATATGAAAATATAATGTCATGAATACCCCTTGGCATTAATAATAATTTATTTATTTCTTCATTTTTTTTATCAAATATTAATATCGCTTACGAAAAATTCTGTATACCAGAGTCCCGGACAGTTGTATTAACAGTGTAGCCTTTCTCAAGCAAAAGCTTGACAAGCAAAGATGCCATAAATCCAGTGCCACCAATTACACAAGCTGATTTCAATCCAATTTTTGAAGTTCCTTCCATGGAATAATCTTTTATAAATCAAAAAAATTATAAGACTAATGAAACCTTATAGAGAAAAATAATGTGAATATTCAAAACATTAATATAGTTTAGTGTCAAATGAAAGTATGTTTGTGTCTTTATATTTGGATTTATATCACTAAGACCATTAGGTTATACATGAAGTAGATAGGCACATGGAGTTACCAAATTGTCAAACTTCCAAGTTCAAAAGCAAAGTCCATAGAACCAAAAAAAGGGAAGTTATAAATTTGACCGCTCTATCAAAAATATTTATAGTTGCTATCAATATATAGTTAAATTATTTCATTTTTCAACTTAAATGATAGTGATATTTTAGGTAGAAAACGAAACAACCGATAGTTAAAGTGTGTTGATTTACAAATGTATGAAACAAGAAATAAACCTAAGAAATGGAATTAACTTTCGAGATCTAAGTAAAAGATTAATATTAGAGTAAAAGATTGCAAAGCACACTTAATAAGAAAACAAAGGGACAATATGCCCAAACTTGACCTAAGCTCAATATATAGGCCAAAAAAGACACAACTCAGCCAAGATTTTAACTCATATAGACAAAGAAATTAATCATGGTAAGTCATAAAACATAACTAAAGTATATTATGATACAGAGGAAAATGATTAAAAAGTATAAAAATTCCTAAAATTCATAAGAGTGGTTTCCATAAATAAACTACATTAAACAACAACCAAAACAAAATCAAATTAGAAAAGTGGGATGGACAAATCTAGAAAAGGGAGACCAAGAGACAATCGAAGCTACCAACTAATTCTTATTTTTTGAGATACCGATTTCATCATACATTTTTCTAGTGAGTTGGTTCAATGAAAAATTCATCATATTCTATAACATAAATTTCCCATTATTCATTGAATCACGATCAGAAAAAACCTTTATTAAGTGCTATTTATTTTATTTCTTTTTTGCAGCTCAAATTGCTAATATTTTAAGTGGGTCTTGTGGAACAATTAATTAGTCACATGCAAAGGGTTTTTTCTTTTTTGAAAATTTTATTCATTTCTTTAGAAAGCCTTTACGATTTCATCGTTCCTCTCACTATCATTATTAGAGATTGTCGATCGCCTACTTTTAATTAAATGATCAAATAAATATTATTCTCTTAATAATACACATGTTTATTAATTTTAAGTCATTGGTATATTTTGAAAAGAAAATAATGAAGAGAGAGAGCCAAATCTATACCCACCATATAATAATAATTTAATTATTATTTGTTTTGAATATATGTAACATATAAAAACTAAAATGTGGAAAGGAAACTTTGCTAATACTCACACAAATACTATTTTGAAGTTTAGAGCAACTAATAAAGTTGTTCCCTTGATATATACAAAGTTTTATCTCTCTAATATATACATAATTAATCATATTGTTATAACATAAAATATATACATCAGTATAATCTCTTATCAGTTGGAGATAACAAGCTTATATCACACATCTCATATGTTGTGTAATTAGATGGTCTTATCCCTCCTTAAATTAAATAGACAATCAGATTATCAATCATCATTTTATCTACCTTTTTAGTTGGCTATAAGTATAGATTAACGTTGAATACAATACTCATGTTCCCTCCATTCATACCTCCACAACCACTCATCGATACATTTAACTTATATCTTTGGCTAAATAATTTGAAAACGGTCCCTTAAAGTTAGCTCGTCTTTCATCTTTAAAAGATAATGACATTTATAAGATTATTAAAATATATATGTACTTTTTAAAAAATAGTACATTATACTCTATCATATCGTGATGATATGGAAGAGTTGAACGTAGTCAATTTTTAAAAAGTACATATTATATATATATATAATCTTATAATTGTCATTTGTCGTTTATTTTTTGAAAATGAAACACGAGTCAACTTTGAGGGATCGCCTCCGAATTATTTGGCCAAATATACAAGTTGGTCGAAACATGGTAGATAACATGACGATTGATAATCTAATTAACTATTTAATAAAAGAAGGAATAAGACCATCCAATTACACAAGATGCGTAATATAAGACTTGCTATTTCTAAATTGGTAGGAGATTATACTAATGTATATATCTCATGTTATAACAATATGACTAACTATATACATATTAAAGAGATAAAACTTTGTTAGTTGTCTTATACTTATTTTGTGGGAGTAATACCAAAATCTTCCTCCTCACATTTTAGTTTTATATATATGTTTTATATATATCAAAAGAAATAATAATAAAATTATTATTATTATATGGTGTGTATAGATTTTGGTTCTCTCTTTTTTCATTATTCTTCTTTTCAAAGTATACTAATGGTTTAAAATTGGAAAAATCACACCATATACACATTTAAGGGTTAATATTACAAGTTTTAAACATATTCTTAAAAAATCCTAACTTATAACAGTTTATTTACGGGTTATAACATATTAATTAAATTTAACTTTATTGAAAAATTAATTACAGGTTTATTTAAAAATAATTAATCTCTTTATATTTTTATATTATTAATTATTAATAGCTAGCTAATATAATTTCAGTTCCTTTTTTAAAATCGTAATTATCAGTTACAAAAATTTAGGGATTTACATTGATTAGACTTCCTTTTGTACCGTTACACTCCAATTAATTCATACACCAATCACAATTCCCGCCCAGCCAAGCCTATCAGTTTACACGCCACCACCCCACTACCCCCATATTCACAATTACACGCCACCACCCCACTACCCCATATTCACAATTACACGCCACCACCCCACTATCCCCATATTCACAATTTTCACTCCCATCTTCCTCACCACTCCACCATCACATTCACAACCGTCCATCCAATCTTTCTCACAACAACAATCGTCACTCTCGTTACGTTTCTCATCATCAGCATGTCTAAGAAGCACACTGCAACTCCTCGAAAGAGTGCCAGATCTGTTGAAGGAACTTATATTCATGAAGATCATGTTCCAACTTTCAATATATTAACTCAAACCCCTCCGCCTAAAAGGGCTGAAATTCCGAGGGCTGAAATTCCGGCGGAGTGTGGTTCATCTCGGTTGAAAGATCAAAAAGATAAAAAAAATGAAGCAAAGAAAAGGCCGATTTCGACAAATCAAAAGGGAAAGAAGAGGAAGGGGAAAATTTGTGAAACCCCTTCCGAATCTGATTCTGATTTTGTTAGTGAAACAAAAAAGAAAAAAAGAAAAAAAACAACAAATGTAGAAGTTGGTCAATCTTCAAAACCATCAACAAGAAGTACATCAAAAAAGAAGGAATCAGAAGTACCAACATCCAAAAAACACAAAAAAGTTGTTAGGGTAAGTACTTTATTTAATTTTATTCAACATTAGCCAAAATAGTGATTTTTTATATCACATTATGCTTATTGTTTTTTTCGAAACATTTGTATGTGTGAAAAATAGTTCGAAATATGAATAAAATGTGTATGGATATGAGGTTAATGTTTGATACAATATTTGTATGTACTTTGATACAATATTGGTATGGTAAATGGTATGAATTGTGTGTTAACATTGGCGGGGTGGTCTATTAATTTTGTATATGGTATGAATTATTTAATTTCTCTGTTTTGTATAAATTTAGAATAATATTAATATGAAATTGGAATTTTTCCTATTAAGAAGGTTTATTATTCAATTTATCCATTAATGTATTAAAATTGTTAAATTATTGTTAGCGTATTTCGATAAATTTATGAAAATAGATTGATGAATGCAACAGTGCAAATGAAGATGGTATGATGTTTGATTAAGTTTGGTGTGAATTTTTTTATAAATATTGTATAAGGCAGTACTAAAAATATGTATATGCATGTGTATGAAACATGAATAATATTTGTATCCACATACTGATGGAATGAAACTTGAATAACATTTGTATGAAGTGTGTTTTAATTTAGTATAAACAATTTTTATTTTATAGACAAGGAAGATATACACACACTAAAATTATGTATATGCATGTGTATGAAACATGAATAATATTTGTATCCACATACCGATGGAATGAAACTTGATTAACTTTTGTATGAAGTGTGTTTTAATTTAGTATAAACAATTTTTATTTTATAGGCAAGGAAGATATACACACACTGGTCTTCATGTACAAACATGAATGTTTTTGCTGATCTATTAGATTTCCTTGGGCAAGAGAGGTTTCAACAATTTCTCGAACAAACACCTTTTGGTGTATTTTATGACATACACCACATAAAGATTCAATGTCAACTATTGCGACATTTGATGATTCTTGAATCTGAAAATGTCAGAGACGACATGTTTGTTGTGAAAATAAACGGTACAGAATTACGTTTTGGAATCAAGGAATTTGCTGCGATAACTGGTCTTAAATGTGGACTTCTTACTGATTTTTTTTCAGATCCGTATATTCCCAATAGAATTATCTTAAAATATTTTGGGGATATGACTAAAGTTCCCAAATTAGACTTCTTCAATAAGTTTAAACATGCTAACTTTTTTGAGACTGAAGACCGTTTAAAAATTGGCATTCTGTACTTCATTACTTCATTTTTTACTGGTTCGGAGGCCTCAAAAACAACCATTCCTAAATTGTATTTTGATTTGGTTGAGTCCGGTCAATATGTTAACTTCCCATGGGGCAATGAATGTTTTAGATTAACTCTCAAAGCTTGCAGCCGTAGATTGGGAAAGAATCCTACGTCATTCAAATTCAGTCAATTCCATATAGCATTGCAGGTTTGGTTTTATGAGTGTTGTCATCCTTTTGACAACTCAGTTGCTATCCGTGTTTCAAATGTCACACCGCGTATTCTCAACTGGAAGACATCGAATGAGAGTATTTTCTTCGATGACCTAAAGAATACAATTTTCAGAACGCATGGCAACCAGGTTATCGTTTAGTTATTGTCATTTACTAATTCTAAGTTATTACATTTTCTTTTATAAATTTTAGTTCTCATATCTTATTTTGTTATCACAGCATAAATTCAGAAACATAGTGCTTACTGAAGAAGAGTTAA